CCGGAGGTTTGGAAACGTGGCTCTGTTAAGTGAAGCATAAAAGTCATTCAGTTTAACAGAGTTGAACTTCTCCTTTAGCACGGAGTCAAACTGAAGATCTATCAGTTCCAACTGCAGCTCCTGTGGTGCTGTTCCAGGGTCTTGTGACAGGGGACAGGACACCAGCTGAAGTGACTGTTCAATGTTTTCGAAATCAGAGAACCTACGGCAGAATTCTCCGTACAGGTCCTCAAGCGATTTGCTGTATTTTTTTGCATTTCGCGGTGCCTCTTCCTGCATGGCAAGTGTGGGGAAATGAGCAAAAGATTTGTTCGCAGTTTGTCCGGAGAACAAAGTGAGCTTGGATTTGAAGGCTTTCACATGTTTGTACATGTCGTGAAGAAACTGATCTTTCCCCTGCAGTTTCACATTCAGCTCATTCATGTGTGAAAATATGTCCACAGCAAATGCAAAGTCACTAAGCCAGTTCCTGTTGCTTAGCTCAGGGAATTCGTCAGATTTCCCCATCAACTCCAAAAATGTGATGATGTCCTCTTTCAGCTCCCACACTCGTTGTAACACTTTCCCCAAACTTAACCAGCGGATACGAGAGTGGTACAGCAAGTCCTGATGATCCGCATCAGTTTCCTCCAGGAAGGTAATAAACTGACGGTGCTGTAGTCCCCTTGCTCGTATAAAGTTCACAAGTTTTAAGACTGGATTCACGACATGATTAAGCTGCAATACAGACTTACACAGGGATTCCTGATGGATGATGCAGTGAAGGAAAATAAGATCCTGGACAGGGTTTTCCTCTTTCACTTTATCCTAGATTCTTTTCAGCAGCCCAACATTTTTTCCAGTTAAATTTGGCGATCCATCCGTTGTGACATTGACAAGTTTACTCCAAGGTAGCGTCATTCTTTCGATGACAGCAGATACCTGGTTATACAAGTCTTCTCCCCGCGTTGTTCCTTTCAGGGACTCCATGGTCAAAAACTCCTCTGCTATTGCAAAACTGTCGTCAATGCCTTGGATAAAAATGAGGAGCTGAGCAGTGTCTTTTACGTCCGTACTTTCATCCAGTGCTAGTGAATATAATTCAAAGGAATCAGACTTTTTGTTTAATTGACTGGCTATATTTTTATCAATCAGTTCCACACGGCAAGTCACAGTCCTGCATGATAAACTGACTTTTTCAAATTTGCTTTTGATCTCCGGACACAAGATGTCTGCTGTCTGTACCATGCATTCTTTGACAAACTTTCCTTTGGAGAAAGTGGTAATGAGTGGTAATGTTGGTGAGAAGAAGGTTTTAAAGAAAATTTAAATCGAAGCGAAGAAGGAAATTATTGAAAAGTTTGTATAATTAATGATTTTTCAAACTTTAATTATGTTTTCTGTGCTTAAAACTCTTTAAAAAACTGTGGGGTCTAGAATGGACTCGTGAAATTCGTAGAGAACTCGGAGTTAAGTTTTGTTTGTTTTGTTGAATTACACAAAGCGTAACAGTTATGTATATAACTTTTGTTATATAAAATTCCTGGTAAGATATTAATTTTGGGAATGTAGTCATACCCCTCCTCCTCATTCAAGCCATAATTTAGAGAGCAAAAGCGCCGAGTACGTAAATCGCTAACATTAAAACCCGTTAATCTCTTCTCGCATCATTCATACGATGATGCGGTGAACTAAATGTTCATACGATATTACGGTGAATGCTTCCAAAAACAATACTGTTCCCAAATATTGCTGTTAACTTACTTTCAATAGAAACATGAATTGCTTATACGAATATTCTCTCTCTCTCAGAAACGACCGACTGATGTAGCAGACGAAACAATCATCTTGTTGAACGATTCTAAACCTTGATGCGGCAATGTTAGTTTTCTCTGTTGTTCAAGGTTTCCTCAGTGTTATTCAATGTTTTTACATTTAGTATATTATTACACTGAATTCTATGGCGTAATTAACTATTTTTGTGCTTAATAATCTTTAAAAAAAACAATATTTATATACAGTTCGTAGGAGTCTGGAACGGAATAATCGTATTTACATACAATCCAATGGGGAAATTAGGTTCGAGTCACGACCAAATCTGGTTGCGACCAAAGTTATGGAACGAATTATGGTCGTGACCAGAGGTTCTACTTCACACCACACTCCCGGTCAAAGTGCGCCATCTAATGGGGAAATGGGGGCATTACAGGAGGAAGGTAAAATTTAATTTAATAATAATATTTGGACAAGTTCGGCGGGCCGGATTAAAAAGCCCAACGGGCCGTATACGGCCCGCGGGCCGTACTTTGCCCATGACTGGGCCAGTTTGTAGGTAGGAGAGTTGATCGCGGACACGATGGGCCGTAGTGGGGTGCCTTCTTTATGGATCTTGGGGAGACCATAAAATCTGGGAGGTCTAGCAGCCGAGGGTTTTAGGGAGGGACGTCTGGTTGGTTCGATTAGGGAAGTCGAACTGGTGATGATCTTGTTGGTTTTTGTCGTTAGGCTGTTAGTAGGATCGCTTTTAATTTTGGAGTAACTCCCATCATTGAGTAGATTCAGGATTTTGTTGTTGTATGAGCCTTTATCCATGATGACCGTAGCATTTCCCTTGTCGGCCGAGAGGATGACTATATCAGCTGTCTTTTTTAGGTTCGCGAGTTCAGAGCGTTCGTTTTTGCTAATGTTGCTAGTGGGTTTCTTAGCGGCTGCTAGACCTCCCAGACCTCCCAGACTCTATGGTCTTCCCAAGATCCATAAAGAAGTCATCCCACTCTACGGCCCATTGTGTCCACGATCAACTCTCCTACCTACAAACTATCCCGTTTTCTATCAGATGCTCTGCTTCCCTTCACTGGCAAGACCTCTTCAGCAGTACTTAACTCAACCCAATTGGTCTCTATGGTCAAGGACATGACACTATCTCCTGACGATATCCTCGTCAGTTTTGATGTGGTATCTCTGTTTACCAAAGTCCCTGTACCTGACACCCTTACTATAATTGAAGAGTTGGTCCAACATGTATTGAATTCGGATGTACCTGCACTGGTTAGGCATTGCCTCACCAACACTTATTTTACCTGGAATGGCAACTTCTACAAACAGAATGAGGGTACCCCTATGGGCTCCCCCTTGTCACCAGTGATAGCCAATGTGTTCATGGAAAAGTTTGAATCAGACACCATCCAGACGTCCACCCTGCGTCCTTCCCTGTGGAAGAGGTATGTGGATGACACTTTCGTCATTTGGCCACATGGCCTCCCAGCATTGAACCACTTCTTGGACCACATCAATTCCAGACACCCATCCATCAGATTCACCATGGAAGTGGAGAAAGATGGCAAACTACCATTCTTAGATATTCGGTTTGAGAGGAGACCTGATGGATCCTTGGGACATTCTGCTGCTGCTGCCTGCTGCTACCTGCTGCTGCCTGCTGCTGCTGCCCACTGCTGCTGCTGCTGCTGCCTGCTGCTGCTGCCTGCTGTTGCTGCCTGCTGCTGCTGCCCACTGCTGCTGCTGCCTGCTGCTGCTGCGTCTATTCCGGGCTCCGCTGGCCGCCGGGGCTGCGCGGGTGGTAGTGGGGGGGGGGGCCTCTGTGTGTGGGTGGGTGGCGAATGGTGGGTGGGGGGAGGGATATATATGTGTGTGTGTGTGCTTGGTGGTGGGGGTATAAAGGCGTGCGGCGAGGACGCGGCGCAGCGGAGCTGTCTGGATTGCGGCGCCAGGAGGTAGGGGAGAGATCGCGAGCCGCGTTACACTCACACAGCGTGTCTGGGTGAGTGTGGGGGGAGGGGGGGTCTGGTGAGTGTGGGGGGGTGAGTGTGGGGGGGGGGTGTCTGGTGAGTGTGGGGGGGGTGTCTGGGTGTGTGGGTGAGTGTGGGGGGGGGGGGTGTCTGGGTGAGTGTGGGGGGGGGGGGTTGTCTGGGTGAGTGTGGGGGGGGGGTGTCTGGTGAGTGTGGGGGGGGTGGGGTGTCTGGGTGAGTGTGGGGGGGGGGTGTTTGGTGAGTGTGGGGGGGGGGTGTCTGGGTGAGTGTGGGAGGGGGGGTGTCTGGGGGTGTGTGGGGGGGAGACGAGGCGAGAGAGTTGTGGGGTGCCGTCGTGAGTCGTTGTTCCCCCCCGAACACCACTTGGGAGGTGGTGGTGGAGGTGTTGGTGGTGGAGGTGGTGGAGGTGGTGGTGGAGGTGTTGGTGGTGGAGGTGTTGGTGGTGGTGTTGGTGGTGGTGGAGGTGGTGGAGGTGGTGGAGGTGGTGGTGGAGGTCGTGGTGGTGGAGGTCGTGGTGGTGGAGGTGGTGGTGGAGGTCGTGGTGGTGGTGGTGTTGGAGGTGGTGGTGTTGGAGGTGGTGATGGAGGAGGTGGTGGTGGTGGAGGAGGTGGTGGTGGTGGAGGTGGTGGTGGAGGTGGTGGTGGAGGTGGTGGAGGTGGTGGTGGAGGTGTTGCATGCGGATTTGCTTCGTGAACCCGAGATGCCCCGGTAATCACGTGCGCCCGTCGTGGTTTGTGATTCATGCTGACGATACGATTCGGAGACAGCCAGAGAGATGAAAAGTAAACTTTTAAGTTCATTAAAAACTGTGGGGGAGGGAGGGGGGTGCCATCATTATACTCTAGCCTCCCCCCCCCCATTTCAAGTAACGTCGTCTCGACAGGAATGTTAAGTTGCTGTTCTTTTCGTTGTCATACGGCTGCTGATGTAGCTGCAGAGCGATGGTCAAGCGTGAGGAGCAGTCGCGGAGAAGTAGTAGTAGTAGTGGTGCATCATCATCGCCGTCATCGTCGCTGCGATGGTGTCTCCTCTCCGTTATTGCGCACCGGGGCATTGCGTCCGTGTACGCTGTTGTGGTCGTCTTGTTTCGATGGCCACAGTTGGCACCGCTACCGGAGATGTGTCGTTTCTCTTCCTGTGCCGGGCTGCGATGAGGCCGATGTGAAGTTGCGCGGAGTGCGAGCTGACTCGTGCGCCTCCTGCACCCGGAATCGTGGCGCACGCCGTGGCCCGAGAGGATGATGCTCCTCTCTCGTGCCTCCCACAGCAACCCCCCCAGTCGTGGCCGGCCCATCGCAAAGCCGTGAGAACAACAGGCCCAGCAGCTCGAGTGGCGCGTCAGTACGCGCTCGCAGGGCTTGCGCCGTTGTTGTGCCCGCGTGACGGTGAGGTCGTGTGATGGGGTGGTGTGATGGTGAGGCGGTGTGACTGTGTGATGGTGAGGTGGTGTGATTGTGTGTGACTGTGTGATTGTGTGATGGTGAGGCGGTGTGATTGTGTGAGGCGGTGTGACTGTGTAATGGTGAGGCAGTGTGATTGTGTGAGGTGGTGTGACTGTGTGATTGTGTGAGGCGGTGTGACTGTGTGATTATGTGAGGTGGTGTGATTGTGTGAGGTGGTGTGCCGTTCTGGCAGTCCTTCGGGCGTGCTGCCTGTAGGTGCCGACTGGCTGGCAACCCGGGGGAGCCTCTCCCTAGCCGCGCGCTCCGCCCGGAGCCCCGCAGGCTCCTATTTCGGGGGCAAGCGCCGCGCACGGCTGCGGCGCGGATATTTCCTGCATTGTAATCGTTTCCCCTTGGGTCCTCTTGCCTCGTGCGCTGGCGGCGCGGGTCCTGGGCCAGTGGAAAGAATGCGGCAGATGAAGGGGGCTTCAAGGTCGCACGGCGGCTGGCTGCAACACACGCCTCACCTCTCTCGCCTTTATTCATCCCGGCGGTTGGCAGTGCCAAGCGATAGCCACCCACCCACAGAACCCAACCACACCGAACACCCAACCTCGGCCGAGCATCGCCACCCTCCGTGTCGGGCGCTTCTTTGAATCGCTTGGCCCTCGTGTCACTGCCGAGGTCGCATTACCGGGCAGGCTTTGTTCAGCAAAAGTACTTTGCTGCTGCTGCTGCTGCTCCTGTTAACAGTGACAACTTTCTTCCTGTGGAGCCACAGTTTGAAATCCCACGCCGTCTGCAGAGTACTTGCTTTTTTTTCCTCTGGGAGGTGGAGAGCGGTGGGTGGAAAATATTCAAAACAAAGGGTGGCTTTGAACAATGAGAGGGAGAGAGAGGAGAACCACCTTGGGTTCATTTTGATTTAGCGAATGCTTTTGTACACAGAGCTCCAGATACACAATAAATATAAATGATTAGATTAATAGATATGTAGCCTTGTACCCCGGCAGGCCGGAGAGAGAGAGGTGGGGGGGGGGGGTAAACTCGCCGGATACGAGCAACAGGGATTGCAGCCCCAGAGCTCTAGCTGGGCCAGTAGCAACGGCAGTACCTGGGACGTGCAGGGGCCACAGCGTCATGAGTCACGGCTGCTGTTAACACTGTATTGTATAAATATTGCTCGGTCTCATTCCACGGACCAAACCCGTGGGGGGGGGGGGGGAAGGTAATGGGGTGGGGGGAAGGGACCGGCATCTGTTCGGAAAGTTGGACCCGTTACTCAGAATGTGTAAACCATGGTTTCTACTGTTTTACTAAATAACACTGCGTGTTTGGCTATTCCGTGACAGCAAAACAACCTCCCCCCCCGCCCTCCCCTCTCTCTCTCCCAGAGGTGGTGCTAAATCTTCACCCGGGGTCATACTTTCCAGATTTGTACAAAGGTGGATTTCCATATCGTGGCAGCAGATGAAGACCGTACTCGTCTAATGCTTGCAAGCAAAATGCTTTCCCTTGTACACCGCGTGTGGAATTTCAGTTACGATCCTATTCTTGCGCATGATGGCGATGTGTTCAGGAGCTGAACGCCAAAGTTGAGGTCTGGTGGGCACGACAAGAGAGAGACGGCTTCAGGAGAGAGTTCGTGTGTCGCTATTACTCCTCCAATGGAGTGAAGTCCATAGTTTGGGTTGTATAACCAGCACACATCTTTATGACCAGTTGGAATGATGCTTTATGGATGGACATGCGTAATGGATTGTCAAGGAATGTACGTGAACGTTCGTATGTTTCTACATATTGTTCAATTGAGTCATGAGCCCTTCTTCCAGTGTCGCGTGGATTTTTCTCCAGGTTTTCCCTCATTTACAAGCACAAAAATTCGATATTGCGCCGCAGCTGGCTATGACATCTGTTCTACGCACGCCGGTCACTCATCCAAGCCCTATCCAGGCTCAGCCCTGCTTGGCTGCTGAGCTTTGATGAGAATTGGCACATTCCAGGTAGTTGCGTCATAGCAGTATGCTATGCAGTACATTTGTAATATTTGTAGAATTATTTTACCAATTTGTTGTGCATCCAATGATAGTGTTTTGCATGGTTCGCCTTCCTATTTAAGTGTGTTATATATGTGCGTATACTTGTATGGACATATAGAAAGTCTATTTCATGTTGGTGGATATTCTTTTTGCCTGATTGCAAGTTTCTGGCAGGCAAATCATTCTGGAAGCTACTCAGCCCATGGTGTATACTGGGCACACTTCATATGTAACTGAATATGGATTAGCTAGAAAACAGCAGTGGTGACAAGCCGTTCGGTGCCAGGGTTATTAGTCAGCTCCACACAGCAGCCAGCATCGTTGCTTGTTTCAGGTTTGTTTTATTTTTAGGAATATTTCGACCGCGATAAATCAAAAAAGAGGCAGTGATATTGTGGCAACTCATTCTTGGGAGCGCTGGTTGGCACTGCCAACTCACGCGACAGACGTTTCAAGCCTGCGATGTAGGCCATCCAGGATCACCATCGCGGCCGGTCTGACGCTGAAAGTGACTTTGGTGGCCAGGGGGAAGGGCGCAGTCCCCAGTGGGCAGGGCCCCCCCCCCCTCCCGGCAGCCGCCGCGAGCGTGCCGCGATGTGACGGGGAGCCGGTGCCGGGGACCCGGCAGCTGGGAATGTCCTTTGGTGGGCGTCAGGGTGAGCACGCAGGGAACGCGTCGCGCGCGGTCTCGGTGCAAGGGGATGACACGAAGTGGCAGGTTCCAAACAATAGTGTCCCTGCGGGTTGAGGGGGCAAGGGAAGGTTGGTGGACGTGCAACATGTGGAACCCGCTGCACGAGCGCTCGCATCGATCGTCGCAATAACCCGCGGGTTTCAATCGAGTTCAACCGAGACTATTCGGCCTCGTCCGTGTTACATTTTGGAGTTAGATCTCCTCGTGAGGAGAATGGAAATGTGTGTCGACCACCCTCCCACCCGACGCAGCCATATAAGTAAAGTTTGTCACGTGAACAAACACAGATAATTAATTACCGCTTCAGCACTCAGCCGGTGTTGTTGTCGTTGGAGAGCGATCCGCAATGTTTAATAATTGGGTACGCGTTGTTTCGCAGGTTGTTGCAACAGTAATATCGGTCGCGAAACCCCACGGGTTAAACAGACCAGTCGACGGATATTCTTTGACATTTTTCCATTATTGATTGGAATGGAGTTTCAAGTTCATGACATATGCATGATACAGGTTTTTCTGGGGTTAGATCGCGTAACCCAAACAAACTGTATTATAGATGATATTGGTCGCGAAATCCTACTTGTTATGACAGATAATGGCACTAAAACCCTTTATTTGTATATTTACCAGTTCAAAGGCCGCTTACACAAGACGCGCATTTTCTAATGCAGCGACTTGAACAGAATAACTCGGGGCAGAGGTAGACGAATAACATCATTCACAGGCGAGATTAACAGCTTTTTAAACGTCTTACTTGAATACAATTAACATAATAATCGCGGTTATCACACACTCAAGAGTGTTGCTAAATGAAGCGCGATGGCAACACGCCTTTAGGAACGTCCTCGCGTACGGCATGCACTCGAGAGCGAGTATCCATCATTGCACAGGAAGACATCAAACTGGTTCAGAGAGGCCAATTGACAATCCAATGGACTTCGCTAGACTAACAGGATGATGACCCGAGCTGGATTGCAGTTCCCTGGGGCTTCTGACAGCAGCCAGGGCACGAGCCCATTGTAAAATGTTGTTCTCAGGGCTCTCGGTATTACACGAGGGAGTGTGGGAGTGACAAATGCCCCATCGTAATGTCACGTCTTGTACAATAATAGTAAAGATGATTTTAAATTGATTTGCAACTCAAACTATTAAAGGAATTTCCACATAACCATAAGGGCCCTTCCTGCAACCCCTCTTCCACTTCTAGCACCAGCTCAATATGTGCATTTGTTGACGTATCCCTGGGAAATACCCAGCACGTGTAGCCCATGATAACATCCAAGTGGGTGACATTCTACTCGAACATTTACTGTTGACCGGAGAGATGAACCTCAAGTTCACGAGGTCAACGTGGCCAAAGCCGTTGATGCCACCACACCGCGCCAACGCTTTGGACCCTCTGCCAGTTCCTGCCGCCGCAGTCGACTCGCAGCCCCCAAGATGTGCCCTGACAGTATCGCTCCACCGTCCGCTCTGAGGTCTCCTCTACCCCCCACTCCTTGGTCGCCGGTGTTTGTCGAGACCATCCGGACGTCTCTCTTGACAACTGGCCCCAATTTCCGTTCTGCGCACGCGTGTCCCATCTTCAGAGATCAATCCTCCCTTGGGAAGAGTGTCAATTTCAACTGGAAATGAAAAATGTATTTGTGCGCGGTGCCTTCTTTCGCACCGTACGTAGCCAACCGTGCTAATCGGAGGTGTGATAAAATTGGTTTGGACGTCTCCATAATTTATTTCAAGGACCTAAACCGGGGAGGGGTGGAGGGGGTTATCAAAGGTGCAGCCAGTAGACCACGTACCTTGTGCCACATCGCCCCACCGTTCATTTGGAACGGTGGGGCGATGTGGAAAACAGAGGCCAAGTTAGAGTCTGGCCTAAGCGTGCCGCGCGGTAGGCGAGGAGGACGCACCGTGCTGTGTGACCTGTGAGCCCAATGCTCTTCGCTTGTTCTCGCCGGCGTGCAACCGATACGCGGCGAGTGTTGCGCTATTTTTCCCCAAGTGATGTCCGAGGGATGTACAGGCCACAGTGGCCCCCAGGCTCAAATAACATCGACACCTCTCACCTTGCTTCCGCTGACTCCATTGGGGGGGGTGGAGGCAAATCGTACGGCTGCAAGAGACCACTTTAAAAGCAGGGGTGTAAGAATGCATGCCGCGATTCTCAACTAAACTTTATTTATTTTTACCAGGTAATGCCCACTGAGCTATGTAGCTCTTTTTCTGAAGCGACCTGGCCACAAATGATAGCTCAACAAAGTGACTTATCGTGT